CCAGAGCCATAGAGGGTCGAAGCTTCATAGGGCATAAATCCATCCATGGATTAGATCAAACGAAGGCCATAAAAGAATCATTGAACCATGCTCAGAAATTTTGAATCAACGTTTAACTGTAACCCGCAGGTAACTTGCAATACGCTCCAAATAATTCTTGATATCGTTTGCTTGAGCTAATTCGCGGTTAATGGAGAGGGGCCCCTGCAAACAGCATTCTTAGTCCAATTTACTCCATGGTATACAGACGATTTGCCGCCCTCGAATATGGAGTAACATTGGGTTTTTAAACCCTAAATTGGAAATCAGGTAATTTTCTAATAATGACGACAGGGGGGGCGCGCGGAATTTAACCGTAGCGTTGCTAATTTTGAAATTCAAATACTTAGAATAGCAATATCTCATGCACAACACCAGATATAAGGATTTAATTACCGAGATGAGTATTTCTTCATCATAGAGAACTCATTGCGACAAAATTATATATATGTAAATGATCAAGATTTGAAGATTTGGACTAGATATGCTAGTGTAAAACACTGATGTTATTAGAAAACAAAAATAGCTAGATATTATCACATCTTGTTTGTTTGTTTTTTAATGCTGAATGACTCTCAGCTATAGATAGATACATATCTTAGTAAGAAAATACATCTATATATGATTGTGTTGAGGCAACAACGCGTGAAGTCTAAATACCTGTGGCTTGGCAAATTAACGTAAATATAAGTTAATTCTTAAAATAGTTTCGGTCCGTTTCTGGTTGTTGATATTGCGAAAAACTGAGCTCTATAGCGAACAGTAGGTCACTACTACTATATTAAAGACATAGCAGCTGTTTGTGTCGTATCCTCAGCGGCCTCCGAGAGAAGGGACAAGCGGATATGAAAAATATAGATTGACTAACTGTCGTCTTGTTTCGAAGTTGAGATTGACTGTTCAATTAATTCAATTCATGGATCATGGCAGAACCATGGTCCTGCCTAGTGTTTAGGTTCAGTACGGCAACGCCCTGCCCAAAAGTATTTCTCCTCTCTTCCTGCTCCCTCAGGAAAAATTGACCAGCAATGTAGCGCTGTATGCTACTGAATCCTCTTCATGGAATCGAAATTTGAGAAGCTTTTTGTTAAAGGAACAGGCGTCCCGTCGAAGTCTTTAGATAATCGCCTTTCTTCAGATGACCTAGTGGAATTTGACGAAGGCTTCGTCGATACCCCGATCCCTACGTTGACATGGCGCTCGTTCGCTATGGGCTTGTCCGTGTCGATGGGAGGGTTCATTTTTGGATATGACACTGGCCAGATCGCAGGCGTACTGGAGTCGGATGATTTCAGAAGGCGGTTCGGTGAGCTCGAGGCCTCTGGCGAAACCTATCATTTCTCACGTGTTCGCGCTGGCCTAATTGTGGCCTTGGTATGTTTGCCCTATATATGTTTCCTTAAGAACATTGTCTTCTGTCATAATTGGCATTTGCTAGTCTAATTTGGTTGTTAGCTCTCCATTGGAACGCTCATAGGAGCATTGGTTGCTGCACCTTTTGCCGACAGATTTGGCCGGAAGTGGACAATGTCCGGTTTCTGTGTGATAATTATTGTCGGTGTTATTGTTCAAATGACTTCCGAATATCCTAAATGGTATCAGGTGGTTCTTGGCCGTTGGGTTGCGGGTCTTGGTGTCGGTGCGCTTTCGGTGCTGGTTCCACTATATCAGAGCGAGAGCGCCCCACGGCATATTCGTGGTGCTATGATAAGGTTTGCTCCATCGCTAGCATGATGCCTTCCGAGTGTGAATGGGTAAACTAATCAATTCTCATAGCTGCTATCAGCTTTTCAATACCCTGGGCATTTTATCTGCTAACTGCATCAATTTGGGTACTGGAAACCTTTCGGATAGCGGTGCCTGGCGGATTCCGCTCGGGATAACTTTCATCAGGATATTGATCCTGGGCATTGGGGCGTTACTCTTCCCAGACTCCCCCCGTTTTGATTATCGGGCGGGGCGTATTGACAAAGCGAAAAAGTCATTGATGCGGTTCTACGGCATACCACATAATCACAAACAGCTCCACCTAGAACTCGAAGGAATCCGTGAAAAGTACGAGGAAGATATGGCTGCACAAGATGAGCGCTGGTATCACATGTTTTCCGCCCCCGGAATGAAGCATAGACTTCTGCTTGGAGCCACTTTGCACGGTCTGCACCAGCTCACAGGGGCTAATTTCTTTTTCTATACTGCGGCAACTGTGTTCAGGGGTTTTGGTGTCCAAAACAGATATATTTCACAAGTTATCCTTGGCGCCATTGATTTCGGGGGATCTTGCCTCAGCTTGTATACAGTTGAGAATTTTGGCCGTCGCAAGTCCCTAATAGTTGGCGCAATCTGGATGTCCGTGTGCTGCGCGGTTTACGCTTCCATCGGTCATTTTGAACTCAACGAAGCCATGCCAGAACTCACGCCTGGCCCTGGGAGAGCGATGGTTGTAGTCGCTTGTTTGTTCATGCTAGGGTTTGCCAGTACCTGGGGACCGATAGTCTGGGTTATCATCGCAGAAATATATCCTTCCCGCTATCGTGCCAGAGCCATGGGCCTTGCGACAGCATCGAACTGGCTTTGGAATTTTCTGCTCGCCTTCTTCACTCCCTTTATCACCGAGGCTATTGACTTCAGATACGGTTACATCTTCTCTGGCTGCCTCTTCGTTGGCGTGGCAACTGTATATTTTGGTGTCATCGAAGGTAAAGGTCGAACAATCGAAGAGATTGATACTATGTACAGCTTGCGTATTCCAACCTGGACAAGCGGGGATGAATCACCAAGGAATCCCCCGACGCTCGCTGGTGAAAATCAAACTTCCTATCACAATGGTGCTTCCAACCCATGCGATATTTCCGAACCAAGTTCACGCGAAGATCCAAATAGTTGTGCGCCAACATTAAGACTCTTTCCAAGAATTAGAACCACTTGAAGTCGTCACTGTCGCGTGTCAGTTTTCCGTCAGGACGTACATGAGCTCCCTTGTTGACCTGGCAGTTGAACGTGTGTGGAGCAGAATTAGTTGGATCAACTTTGCGGCATGTTTTTGTCCAAGAGCAGATTTTTTCCCCTTTTGTTTTGCTGTAACTTGTCACTGCAAGAACAGGTTTCTTGCATTACGGCATTCGGATGCCAATTGATTCCCATTGTGTGACTAATAAAGCTAGAGATCCTTACACTAGTAAGTCAATAATATTTCAGATTGGATTATTCGCGTGAATCAAAACTTTTGAAACAGTCATTCGTAGATTTATTTAGGATTTAGGTTAGGATTTGGTTAAGGAGTGCCTATCTGCGCACTTACAAAAGGATCCTATGAGAAATTGGTACGACGACTAATGGTAAATTATATCTCATGAAATTAACAAAATTTCCTTCTTGTTTCTGATCAGAGGGAGAAGTGAGCGATGAATCTCGTGTAATTTCTGTCACTAAGAAGAAAAGGAGAATATGTGTTTTGCATTGATGGGAGGAAAGTTGTCGGGACTACCCACAATACATTTTTGTATCTAACGTCTGTTTTAAGAGCTTGGTTCATTCTACGTCGATAGCATAAGATGTAAAGTAAAACGTCTTCATGAAGTTCGCTGATGATGTCAATGGCACCTGGATTTTTAAAATTCGCCTCTCAAAAATTTGTCCTTCCTGTTTGGGATCTCCTGCTGTCAAGAGTGCTTTCAAGCATAGAAGGTAGGATACTAGTATACATATATCGAGCAGGCTTTCAAACTAACCTGCTTCCACCACACGCCCCTTTTTTAGGTTGGTTTTTGAAGAACATAAATGCAAAGCAGCAAACCATTGAACTCCCTTCTTTTCAAATTTCATAGTTCGTGCGAACATGATGAGGTTATTTCCTGAACACGCCTATGATCGTATATGTATACATTCAAATACCATTGGCGAAAATTTCGATATTGTGCTAGATTTTTATTTTTATTTTTATTTTTATTCATTCCTCGTGGGCGGTTGTGCGGCAAGCGATTCAGGAAAAGTCATGTGGGTACCAAATTGAATACGGAAGCTCAGTGAAACGAAGAGGTCACAGAGCTGCAATAATTCCCTGTGTGTTCGATATTTTGTATTGCGAAGTCTATCAAGCGTCGAGTAGATGATATCATCAAATCCGACAAAGGTGGTTGGTTATATTTTCAATAGCGCTTGTTACGACGAGTCCCTTTTCTCTTCCGGGTGTGCCCGCTCGTAGACCCAGTCGTTTAATCCTGCCCGATTTCTAAATGGAGAGGATATGTTAGATTGACTTCCAAATGAGTCTGATAGATCCAAAACGGACAGTCTTACCTGGCAATTTCGATGGCGTAGAATTGCATGCGAACAGCTATTATGAAAGTAACAGTTAAAAGATATGTAATTAATATGCAAATTGCTGGAGGCAAGGCGTGTTACTGGAAAATGGGAGCTTAAAATTCCGAAAAACAGGTCATACAAAATATTGTCTCCTTTTCCCCATACTCAAATTTAGGATTGGTTCTCAACAGCGTCCCGAAATTATAATCTTCAACCTTCTTATCGTAGGCCATGAGGAAAGATCTCCATCTTTCCTTACCTTCCTTGCTCTTCATCTCATCCTCATTAATCGTCGCCGCCGGGTCGAATTCCGGGAATGTTTCCATGAAATGCTCGTATATTTCATCATCCATTTTTGTCAAGCGCAGACTAGACCCTCTTCTCGTTTCTAGGAGGGACCAGTATGTTGTCATTTGTTGAACCGCTGGAGGTGGGCGGAACGGTCAGAAAAATGCTTTTCAAAGGTCGCCATTGGATTCATATGTTTACCCTCCGGAGAGACAGACCTTTGACGGCAAACTGCTTTTCCATCTGGATTGCGCCAGGATAGGAGTTAGGAGAAATCACTCATAGATAGTGGGGCCCCTTGGAGGTATGGGCGGGATGGATTCGACTTACATCCTCCAAGTTCTGCGCATTTTCCGGGTCGAACTTGTTCGGCACCGACATCTTGGGCGTTTGATGGCTGTATATTTATATAGGATATAATAAAGTGTAAAGTATATGGGGCGCTCCTATGAAATATGTTTCTCTAGGGTAGTTTCTGCCCCTCAGCTTGACTGTAAATTTTTGATATCTTGATCTCTTAGTCAGCCTGTGACCCGCGGGCTCCCGACGGACTCCACACAACTCTCCGGCTACTTCGCGTAGGTGAAGCCAACCTCGTCAGTTGGAGCGGGAATTAGAGTTGGACGTCCTCGAAATACATGAATTGTTAAATTTGTCATTATGATAAGTTCCTATTTTGGAAACGGTCTGGATAGCCGTTCATTTTCTCCACGCGTCCTGATATGGAACTATAAAACCAACCTTAGAAGTCCAAGAAGAGCTATAATTTTTTCGAATATTGGATTCTTAATAGCAAATCTAAACCCCAGCTACCCAGGAGATTCTTCCAAACAGGCTCATTCCGAAACGGCTTGGCCGAAGCTGACCGAGTATACTTGCGACAGATTGCAATTAGAAAATATTTAAGATATATTTCTGCAAGGCAAATATCCTGCTATCAAGAAACATTCTCCCTCCTTCCCCGTATTCCCCGTCTTCCTCGTTGATCTTCCACCATTTGGGTGCGAGCTTACTATCATCATGTTATTATGAGTGCGGCACCCATTCTCGTAGGATAATGCAGCATTTTCCGCAATTAAATTACCTATTGGTACTCGCCAAATTGTCGTGGCGCTCCTTGAACTTTCGATACGAGAGGTAGAACTCCGTCACGGAGCTCAGTAAGAACAATCAACCTTAGAAACGGCCTATGCTTGCGCTCTTATGCGCGCGCGTTCTTTCGTCTCCCCGAATTTATGATACATGGTTATGTGACTATCTTGCACACCCCAGTTGAAGTACTCCATCAGGACAACTGTATGATTTTGACCATGGCCCATATAATGAAGAATAGCAAGTCACCGATTCTTGCTTGTACGATTAAGCCATTTCCAGCGTATCTAGCGCAGGATGAACTGCTTTGACTCCCGAA